GCGCTACTCTTCCCCCCCCCCCCCCCAAAAAAAAGTCCTTTGCATGCACAGAAGCACCAGTCGCGCTTTGATCTTCCGTATTTACTCACAAGCAGCACATCAAAATGTTCCCCCACGACTCTCCTTCAAGGGTGGCCGCCGAGCAGCACGCACTTGCAGATCTTTCATTAAGGACCGACGATCCGGAGGAGATAATAACATCTTTGTCGATTTGTTAAATCGCTGCCTGCCATGTGTCATGTTCAATTAATCTTGTAATCAACAATCTGGGGGCATGTGTCACTTGAATTTGGAACCACCTCCGCTCCGACATTAACGCCGTCTCCCCCCCCTCTTCATCTCCTCGCAGGGTTCAGAGCCAGCGACTGTGAGAGGCTGTCGGATCACGTCCGATGTTCTCTCCGAGGGAATAATAGCCACTCCTGACCTACTGTGAAGAACAATCTTTGATTCAATCAATGCCGCCGCCTCCCTCGGGGGGAATTGTTCCAGAGCGATAGGTGAACATTCAGAAAAGAGCACCAGTCGAACCATGTGATACCTGACCTTCAAGCGGGCTTACTCCAGAGGATGTCAAATCAGATCTGAAGCTTTTCTCGAGAGGATCACCGAGCTCTTCATGCGTTGTTTGCTAATGCGCACACATCATGGCCAAGTGAAGAGGGCGATTTATCAACGCTGGATCTTCATTTGCGGAGGAGCGCCGCCGCGCATGACAGCATGAACGTGAGATCGATGAGTCCGACTGCGACGTGCCCGTAAGAAAGACGGAAGTCGGGGGAAATCCAGCTCTGGGAGTTGGCGTTGGATTAACTGGTGTGGCCGCGAACCCATGCTGGACTTGCTGTGAGCCGGGCGAAGGGACTCAGCAGTGGAGGATGTCAGCAGAGGCCGAGCTCCAGCCGGGTGTCAAAACCATCCAGAGAAAGGAGTCCAGGAGAATCAAAGGTAGATTCGACTCTCGTTAGTAAACTCAAAAGAGTACACTGGTACTAGTGCAATGTCCAAACAACACTGCCACTTGCAACAGCAAAATGTACATGAGAACAACGAAGCAGGCTATCTTCTGGACTGTTTGCAGAAGATTGTTTTAACTATCTCGGGTTTTTTTTGCTGTTCACTGCCTTTTTGGATGCTCAAACATGCCGTCTTAGAGGGCTATTACCGATTCGCAAACAATATCGGGGTATTAAAAAGAACTGTTTTCGCTGGACAAGCAGTAGTTGCGAAATTCTAATCTGATCCAGATGAAACTTGGCCTCTTGTAGAAATGACAATAGGCAGCGTGAGTTGTTGCCAAAATGTAGTGGAAGCCTCCTCGGAAGAATAGACCTCCGTTGAAATATCCAAAATTGACCTCTAATTGACCTCTTTGGTCGAGTTTAAAAAGTGTCACGTTTGAAGTGGCGCTCAAATTGGGGACCGTGTCGTGTGGATTGCACCTTGAACTTCTACCGGGAATACAAATCTCCAATCGGCGACGATGGAGAGATGAAGTCGAGACGAACAGTGTTCCTGACAGTATTAACGTTCTCCTCTTTGGCAGACGGTGAAATCTAAAAGCAATCTTTGAAGAGTGCTAAATAATTTTGGACTACACGGCGAGCTGCTTCGCTCACTCGAGCTCGCCGAGAGGCTCCCTGTCTCATCCCGGCGATCCGGATGTAGTAACAGCTATTCCGTGTAGCCGCGGGCTTTGGGTAGCGGCGTGATTTAGGTGTCACGGACAGGGTAATTCACATCCTGTCGCTTTGATGAACGCCACGGGTGATGTAATAGGACGGGGCATTCTCTGAACAGTTCGCTCGGAGGTTGAAATGAGAATGAACTGACTGAGAGAAAGGAGGGGGGGGGGCAATAGAACAGTGAAAGGAGTGTGATTCAGGGCGACGGGGAAGTGAGCAACAAGAGGAGTCGTTCTCATTTGCCTCCCTCACTTGACTCCAGCCGTTCTCATTTTTACTCATTTTTTTTCCTTCCATGAATAAAAACCACTCCAGTCAGTTCAGTAAATCCAGCTTCTCGCAGCCCGGCAGTAACAAGCGGCGGGCCGAGTCCTCTGTGGCTCTTTCGCCGGCTCCGTTGGCCCGCTTCGTTAAATGTCTGGGTTGGAGGAAAGCCCATCGATTTAAGCTAAGTGGAAGGGGGG